TTTTTATCTTTAAATAATTTCTAATTTGTTTTTCCTAGGAATAGAAAATTCTTGATAATAATGCAAAGCATAATTGGTATAAGCCTTCTACTGACTCTATGAACAGAATCCTATAAGGAAAATGAGGGAGATGTTACTTTTGAATCTCGTGCAGAGTGACCATTTAATAAACTCTTGTTTATTGAAATAAGATATACATGCTATTAAATAAGACACGCTATATAAATATGCCTTTAGCTCTACATTTTTCAACAAGGAAAGTTTAAAATAAATTATCAGCATACATGCTTATAACTGGGTTGAAAAAATTATTTTACTTTGTGTCTGATTTTTCATATAGTTTCTTTCTGGTAGTCTAATTTTGCAATTTTAATCAGCAATGTGTGGCTAATTTTTTGTCTAAAATTATTCTTTTCAATAAGCCAAATTTTTCCCTGGAGTAAGTTACTAGAGAAGGAGTAATTAAGAAATAGATCATTGATCAAAAAATAGTATAATACCATTTAGTGCATACATATGGAGCCTAGTGGAATGTGGAAAGTTGGATACTTCAAACTATCCCTATAACTAGAGAGAGTCTTAATTCTGACTCTCTCTCTCTCTTTCAGAAGGTTCTCACTGTGTATCCCAGGCTGGCCTTGAACTCTTAATCTTCTTGCCTTAGCCTCCCCAGTGCTAGGTGCAGTTGTGCACCACCATACCTCACCAGTAGTGGCAAGGTTAAAGTAAAGTGACAAGTTTAAAGTTAAAATTAGCTGTCTTTTACACATATATACATATATGATACATAAGATAGTAATTAAATTTCAGTTGAAATCTGTTTAACATACCTGCCATGATCATAAAAATCTACCAAACTATCAAGATATGGGACCCAAAGCATTAAAGCTAAGGAAATCAGAAAAAAATCATTACTTATAATAGATTTTTTTTATTCCTATGAGATCATGTTAAGCCTTTGAATCAAGCATTCAAGGCTTTTAAGTCCTCTCCCCTACTGATGATACTCTCCATCCTTAATTCCCAATAATCTGATATACAAAGTATTTTCATTGTAATTCACCTATATCAAGTACCTTCTTACCTCTACATCATGAAAATCTTTACTCCTCCCCTGCCTCTTGTCTCTTTTCTTTTCTACTTTCAAGAATCTCACCTCCCTTACAAACAGACTTATGGAAACATGTTTTGTGAAGCCACATTCAATCTAACTCCAAAACACAAACTGGAATAACATATTTGCAGCAAAAACACCAATATAAGATTAGTGTCCTGACAATGTGTAATGAACTGCTACAAGTTAGTATAGAACTGGTTATCATGTTTAGTTTGGATTCTCCAGAAGCAGATATTTAGAAGGCAACATAGACAGCATGCTCAGGAAATGCTTGTTGAGAGTATGTCATCAACCTGTTTACTAGTATAGGCTACTGGACTTGAGCTTTCAGGACAGTGCTGGCAACAGTATAGATCTTACCACAGAGATCTCAGACACAGTGGGTGAGGGAGCGAAGGTCATTATATTCCTGCTGGGCAAAAGATAAGGACTTCTCCTGAGGGATATTGATTCACTGAAATTGTGGCCCACTGTATGCATGAACAGAGCAAAGCTCCTGCAGCTTAAGAAAGTCTCCAAACAAGGAGCTCGTGGTCAGCAGTTGTTCCAGTGATAAAGGCTGAAGATATGGGTGAGGCACAGGTTTCCTACTAGAATAAACAAACATGATTTCACAGAAGAGGAAACAACTAACTGCTAGTAAAATTTGTGAAGAAAAATGTCCATTACTAATCAAGGAAATAGCTATTATTATATTACTAAAGTGTAAAATGTATTATTATTTTACATTTACCAAATTGAGGAAAGTGAAAAAAAAAACAAGGATTAAGAAAGCCATGGGAAAGAAAAGTTCTTTTACATAATAGCTTGGTTATAAATGGATAGAACTACTTTGAATACAATTTGGCATTATCTAATACTTTTCAAACTTCCATTTCCTATGACCTAGTAATTTCACTTTGGGGATAGAACTTAAATAATCTCTTATAAAGGTACACCAGAATATATGATCAAAAGTATTCACAGAAGTCATGTTTGTTATAGCAAAACAAAAATCTAGGAACACATGTAACATTTGGTAAAAAGAGATTAGAGAATAACTTGTGGTGTCATATGATCATGCTACACAATGGCATGACATGCTACACAATGGCATGACATGCTACACAATGGCATGACATGCTACTACGCCTACCACGTCTTTCAAAATGAATAAATTTGAAAAAATATAATGCTCATTTTTAAAAGTCTCGGGAAAATGAACACAGCATGATGTGATTTATATAATATTTGAAGCTATGCAAAACTATACAACATGTTTTCTTTTGGGGAGTTAAACATTTTACATTGTAAAAGCCTTAAGAAAGTAAGTAATTAACAGCAGTTAGGAATGGGTGAGGCAAAGACAAGAGGGGCACCAGAGTGTTTCAAAGGCACTGATCCTATTTCTTTGTTCTATTGGGTGTACACATATATTATTTGATGTGTAGAAAACTTTTCATAACAAAGATGGGGCAAAAGAAGAGAAACACAGAATGAAACTCAGATACAAGGTCCCAGGGTAGGAAGAGAAAACTGTTGTACTGGAAGCGAAGGAGAAAATGGTCGGACAGCACTGTTGCCAGGCAGTGTGGAATAGAAAATTATATGGAGCTAATGAAATTTGGATTTCAGAGGTCGCTAGAAGCTTTGAGGAGTGCAGTTCCAGTGACAGAGTTGTAATAGATGTCCCAAAACAATGGCTCAATAACTGATAAAAAACAATCACCATAGGCAGCTCTTTAAATAATTTTGGCAGTAAATGCAAGGAAGGAGATAAGTTGTAATTTAAAGAGAAGGCAAATTTGAAGGCTACTTAGGAGTATTTCATAAAAGAATGTAGCCTGGACTGCACTGTAGATAAAGGAATTAAAATGTTTAAGTAGAAATTTACATATAGGAAAAAATTTAGTATGTTTCCAAGAAAAAGTCTCCAGGAGAATCGTTGCATTGAATCATTTTTAGTGAAAAATATTTAGTATTTCTTTTTTTCTCCTTTATTGTTGTGATGGGTAGGGGTACATTGTGGCATTTACACAGGTTCTTATAATGTATCAAATATATCATACATGAATTCACCTCCTCAAACAATTCTCCCTCATCCTCCCCTGCCCTGATTCCTGGAGTAATTTCAACAGGTATGTTGAAATTATTTGCATTTACATACATGTGTACACATTTTATTGTACTGTACTCACTGCCTACCCACTTTCCCCAACACCTCCCCTTCCCAGTGGTGCCATCCCTCCCCCCTGGGCAAGACCTGTTCTGCCCTCCTGATCTCCGATTCTGTAGGAGAAAAAAGAGGAAAGATAAAATGAAAAATATGACATTTTAGCTTGAGATAAATGTAGCTACACAGGGAGTTTCCTTGTGATATTTCCATGTATGTATGTATTATATCCCCAATTGGTTTATCTCCTCTAATTTTCTTCACTCTACTTTAGTCCCTTTCTTATGGTAGTTTCAGTCAGTTTAGGATTTCTATATTCATTCTTTTAGAGTGAGTGTATCAACCCTACTCAAGTTCTTAGTTTCCCTCCCCATCTCATTCATGACCTCCCCTTCGTGTGACGAGTTTTTCATAATATTGCTACATTTGTGTTAGGTCTACATTCCACAAATGAGAGAGAACATGCAGTTTTTGGCCTTCTGAGCCTGGCTGACTTCACTTAGGATGATGTTCTCCAGTTCCATCCATTTACTTGCTAATGAAAATTTCATTCTTCTTTGTGGCTGAGTAAAATTCCATTGTACATAAATACCACATTTTCTTAATCCACTCATCAGTAGTGAGGTATTTAGCTGTTTCCACAGCTTAGCTATTGTTAATAGTGCTGCAATAAACATGGGTACTTTTGTTGTAAACTGACACAATCCTTTGACATATCCCTAGGAGTGCTATTGGTAGATCCTATGGCAGGTCTATTTTTAGTTTTTTGAGGAACCTCCATACTATTTTCCATAGTGGTGCACTAGCTTACAGTTCCACCAGCAGTGTGTGAGGGTTCCTTTTTCCCTGCATCCTCGCCAACATTTGTTGTTTGTGTTTATGGTAGCTATTCTAACAGGAGTGAGGTGGAATATTAATGTAGTTTTGATTTGCATTTCCTGTATGGCTGGGGATGGTGAGCACTTTTTCATGTGTTTTTTTAGTCATTTGGATTTCTTCCTTTGAAAAGGCTCTGTTCAGTTCAGGAAAATATTTAATATTTCATGTAAGCAATTTACCTAATTTCTAAAATTCTCCAAAGGATATTTTCTTAATTTTTAATGCTTCTTATAAACTTTTATGTTTCATTTTGTCTTTCCAATTTCTTGCCCTTTTTAAATAAACATGAATTAGACTAATTTGAATGATAATATAAAACATGTCGAGACTGCATTAAAGATATTATCAGTAAGGATGTCAATATATTCCTTCCTTTTTCTTACCAAGGCAACATTTGTCATCATGGTAACAAATTGGAGACAAATATTAATCACTAACTGAAATCATATAATATATTTTCTTGCCTGGCTATATATGTGGATATTCTATTGGAAAAGAATAGTTAAGCTTAAAATTACAAACATGCTATGCAACTTGAGATTTCCACTAAAAATATCTTGACTGGTATGCATAAGATTCGGCCAGCAGGAAGAGACCCTGACACTGACTTTGGCAGTGACATAAATCTCAGTGTAGGACAGCAGCATGGAGATGAGGCAATACCATTTATTTTATTAACAGGCAAATTTTCAAGCAGTAACAACACACTTAATAAATTTTTCTATTGCTATGATACCAAAGGAGAGTTGGAAAATGTTTTGCACTTCTATTTTTTCTTCTCAGATATATGTTTTTTGTTCTGTTCCTATAAAAACATTGATGCAGTGACTAAAACCTTAACTCCTTTTTTAGACTCCCTGATGGCTTCACCCAGCTTCTCAACCTGACCCAGCTCTACCTGAATGACGCCTTTCTTGAATTTCTCCCAGCTAATTTTGGAAGGTAAGAATAAGAAATATAAATTATGCAACCTGATTTTAACCTCAGTAAATGAGGTTTCAAAAGTGACAGTTGTTATTAAAGTTAGGCCTCATTAGTATACAACAAATAAGATGGTTAATTAATGAAACTTTCTATATACTAAGGTATAATTTTACCTTAGTAAAATTAGGTCTTCACATAGCATTAATAACCAATAAACTCTAGATGAATTAGAGTTAAATATTTTTAAAAATCCAAAAATGATCTGGAAAAAGTACAGATGAATATTTATGGCTCTTGGGTAGCAAAATAACTTCATAGATACAGTTGCAAAGGAAAATATAAGTGGATAGATTTGACCACCTAAATACATTTAAAATAAAATAATTAAGAAAGCAAAAAATTTAATATAAAACAATAAAGCAGGAAATACTTTTATAATATCTGAAAATCAAATAATTTGTACTCTTAATATATGAATAATTCTTAAAAAGGAGAATGAAGATGTGGATCTTCGGGAAAATGGGTGAGTGACATGCACAAGCAAATTTATAATAAAACAAGCAACAGCCAGTGAACACACAAAAAGGTTTACCTTCACAAACAATAAATGTAATACAAATTAAAATGATAAAAGGGACTTTACTGTGTTCCACACACTTCAAAATCTGTTTATAGAGTATGAGGTCAGCGATAATCATATGTGCTCTAAAAGCTTTGAAAATATTTACAGCTATTGCCTTTATAAGTCATTTCTAGAAATGTCTCTTACTATCATTAGATATCGACTAGGTTTTATCATTATTTATCATTATTGCCAAAATGAAAAAAATTGGAATTATACATCTCTTTAAAAGATTGGTTAGATATATTGTAGTTCATCCGTATGTTAATACTGTGTAGCAACTAATAATCTTGTTTTAGAACTGAAATAAACTAAATCCTATGGTAAGTCTAGGAGTACATTATAACAAAATACATAAGCTATGTTTCCAATACAAATATGCATGAGATTAAAGACTGACTACTTTAAAGTAAAATTATAGGCAACTTGCATTTTCATTCATATTTTATTTCAATTTTTCCAGTTGGTGAGCAAGGAGCTTATGTTTTGTGTAAAAGGTACATTTTAAAAGCTAAGAAAAATTTTTAATTCCAATGTCAACTGCATTATCTAAGTTATCATTTTTTCAAATAATAAATTGGGCATGATTCAACCAACACCTGTCTGTTGACAGAAGCCAGTAGATAACACTCAAAAGAGCTCCGCAGAGTAATAAAAGTCACTGAAAATGGAGCGATCTCCATTTTCATACTGAAAGTGCATTGACGTTTCCCAGACTTTCTTACTTTTGTGGATCAATATATCACAATATCCATAAACACTATATACTTGGACAGTTTCTAAATGTTACAGATTTTTAAAAGAAACTTTGCCTGGATTCCAAATGAATTGAGACCTTACGATCTGTTCATATAAAGTAAAATTGCTCTCACACTGACCACGGTATGATTTTGAATTATCAAATCACAAAATGATCACTCTAGGACACTTTCTGTCATGAATTTTTGTTAGTTCTCTTCAAATAGTCTTAAAGTGAGGATGAGCATACAGCAAACATAATACTAATACCAAAACTACCTGAAATTAAAGATTGAGTTGTTTGTAAATTGCCTGCCAACATATTCTTTATTTTATTATTGTAATCTAAAAAGTTTTTTAACCTTTAGCTGGGTAATTTATCAAAAGAATGATTAAGATCCCTTTTAAAACCTGAGATTCTGATCTTCTAAAAGCCTAAATCAGTCTCAAAGTCTCCTCATTTCGGTACTGTTATTGAGATTTGAGGATATAAATGTTTAAGAAACCTCCTTTATTAGTGACATACCATACTGTGAAGAACTGAGTCACTTTATTTCATACAGATTGAGTTATAAGACTGAAATTAAATTGGAAATTTGATAGGCGGCAAAACAAAAAGGTAAATGAAAGAGACCACGTGAATACCTAAAAGCACAATAAATATAGGGAGGTTATAGACAAAAATCATTCAAATAGTGAATTATTCCAAAAACATTAAAAATTCAGAGAATTCAATTAATTTCTCTTACAGTAGCTACATCTGAGTATAATTTAAAGCCAAGTATAGATGTGAATAACAATAGTATGTGGCAGACTATAAACCTTAACAAGATATTGCAAGATGCATTCCTGAATCACAAATGTCACCCAGCAACAAAAACCATTACTTTAAGTAATTTTTCCCAACCCCAGCACTTTACAGATGATATCATAGGTTTTCAAATGATTTCTCTTTCAGAAATGCTAAAATATGTACCTTAGAATCAATAAAACATGATATGCTGTAGCACTTTTCCCACTGTATAATTAGTGAAATTAGTAGTAGATAGTACTTATTAAAATTTCTGGTATACTAGGAATTATACTTTATTTGTATTATATCATTGAACATTTTCAACCTGATGAATTTATAGATGAAGAAACTAAACTTAGAAAAGATTAATTAGTTTGCAAGAGAAAGAATATAACAGAGGCTAGCCTTCATTTAGGTCTGTCTTATGACCAAGCCCAGGTTTTTTTTTTAATCTCTGTACTATATTATTTGCTTTTCAAATCCAATTATAGTCTCTTTAAGAAAAGTTTTGTTATATTCCAGTGAGCACAGCACCTGATATTTAGTACATATTTAATGATCTGTTGAATACATGAAATTAAATATGGCAGTGAATGTATTTGTATCAAACATTAGAAATTCAGAAGACAAGGCTTTAAAGATTTCTTTGAAATATCTATTTTTAGATATGTGGCATGTCATTACCCAGTGTTAATCCAAACTTGTGCTCATCAATTTGCATATTTAATTAAAATTTGTAGTCACATTAAAAATATTTGAGCATAGTTACTTGAATAATGATAACAAAAATTCACTTTGTTATATGCAAATTCTTACACAGAAATAATAAGTTATTTTTAATAATTCTTTTCTATAGACTTGTCAAATTGAGGATCTTGGAATTAAGAGAAAATCACTTGAAAACTCTACCAAAGTAAGTGATTGTGTATTTACTAAATTTTGAGTTGTAATTTTTCACTAGTAGAAAAATGGCTACTTAATTTTTGTTTTGGCTGGTTTGCCATTTTGACTGCATTATTCTACAAATTCTTTTTAAGGTCAAGTGTACAGAATACTATGTGGAATTCATATTTAATGAGAATGTATCCTGTCTCATAAAACTGTCTAAGTCAGGATAGGAAGAGTCCATTTAAGGTTCTTCTCATGGCTGAAGTTACTTGCTAAGGAACTATTATGATAAGGCTTATGAAGCTGTCATTTTTATAACTGAAAATTCACAAGGTTCAATCTAAAAGGATGTTTAATTCTGCAACTTAATTTATGGGTTGTGAGGTTTTTCTTTAAATCAAGAATGTCAGGAATTTTTAAGAAAAAAATTAAAAATTTTCAAGGAATCTTAAAGCGATTTAGCAAAAAATAAAAAGTTATATGTTCTTGCAAGCCATTGTGATTTTACTAGTCTATTTAAAACTTGGTCTATGTAAATACTAAAGACAATTTAAGGGAAAACTAATTTCCAAATTTTATACAATGTTTAACTTAATAAAATGTTTTGTTTCACCTTGCTTTTCCTTTGTTCATGTCTAACAATAGAATTTTGTCTTGTACAGAAATAATTATTTTGAAAGTTAAAAATTATTTATGTTTTATACTCAAGTAAATCAGTACGACTCATATGTGTCATGATTAAAGTATATGCTATCTTGCTATTATACTTTCCTTCAGTATTACAAAAAAATACTCAGTATAGTGATTAATTTTTCAAATGTTTCAACAGGACTCACAACTATTCTTCTGCTGAAAAAATTGATCCTATTTTTAACCTTTTAATTCATTTCCCTAAGGAAACTAGACTGAATTTCATTGTCTTTAAACCAACATGCCAATAAAATACCTTCAAATTCAATTTATATATACATATGACATATGAAAATTGGTCATTGCAATATGGTGACATAATTTTTAATTTATTTTATTTTTGACTTACCATACATTCATAGTATGAGGGAAATTCACTGTGGTAACTCCATACCTGTGTACAGTGTACACTGGACAACTTATCTCCTCTGTTATATTCCCATTCCCCTCTCCCTCTTCCCTCCCCTTTCAAATGGTGTTTAGGGAGTTTCTTTATGCTGTCTTCAAATATAGTGACATAATTTTGATGATTTTCAAGAATGATACAGAATCCATTTAAATCCACAACGGATGCATCTGTGCATTCATCTGTAAGCGGCAGTTTAGGAGACCACATGAACAGAAGGAAATGGCTCCAGATCTCACGGTCCTGCACTTTTGAGCAGTGCCTTTCTTTGAGCACCTTTTTCTGACTAGAAGCCTAAGCAGAGGTGGAAATGTGTGGGAGTGTTGCTAGTCCAACTACTAATCTCCTGCTGTTGCTGCTAGCAAGCCAGTGCCAATGCTTCCATCACTAAGGCTTTTATTTGCCACATTTAAAGTGGAAACATCAGTACCTGGATCTGTTTGGTAGATCAATATGCATATATAACTTGCATTGCTATTACTGCTTTTACACTTTAAGATACGTTTCCAGAGTTATTTGCAATCTAATATGTTCATTTTATACCTTATCAACAAAAATCTGAAGAGCCAAATACAGACATGAAATATATGGAGAGCTTTATTTTAGTTTTGATGACTAGGAATGAGAATAACCGAAAGAAGTTCTGTGATGAGTAAACTGTATTTTCACTACATATTATACCTTTTCATCACCAATATATACCTGTAACTTAGAGGCATATGAGACTTTCTACTTTATTTTGTACTTCCAATGAAAATAAAAGTAAAAATGTAGTTTTAGAAAAAAAAACAATTTTAGTTTATAGTAACTACTCTGAGAACAGACAACTTTCCTCAGGGATATAAACAAGATGCCAAGTCTTTAGTGGGTTTTTAGCATTTTCTGTCTTCTCTTCATCTTTTGTCTTAAAGTCTATATGCCTGGAAATCTGTGCAAAATATAAAACTGTGTAAGAATTATGATATCACATACATTAAAATATATGTCTTTTAGTAAACTGATACATTTGGATGTAAGAAGACTCTAGGATCAATTTTTCGGTTGAAAATAAGTTAGTGTTATAATTTTTTTACAGTGTTCCTTTATGATCACTCCTCTTGGCACATTAAGGAGTGATAAAATTTTTCAAGTATACATTTTTTTAAAAATCATTGAACAGGTCTTGATTAAGTGTGATAATAGAGGATATTGAACATCTAAAAATAATGAGATAATCCAAAAGAAAAACAAATTTTATGGTATAATTTTTCTCAAAGCAAAAATAATTATCTTCTTTTTTTTTTGAGGGAAACAGAAGATGTGGGATGGTAGTAAAAGTTTAAATGAATGTTAGCTATCAAGGGAAAACCCAGCCTTTGTTTGCTTGTTTTGTTTTATTCATTTGTTTATTGTTTGCTTATCCTTCCTTCCTTCATTTGTTTCTTTTTAAAAAGTGTCTGAAGTACAAGAGTCCAGGAGAGGCTATATTCTGGATGGTTCTGTTTCAGGGTATTTCACAAGGTCATGGTCAAGCTGTTCACTGAGCTGCAGTCGGGTAAAAGCTTCATTGCACTAGGGAATTTGCTTCTAATCTTACTCAAGTGGTATTTGGCAAGTGTGAGAAAGGAGACAGAGACAGAAAAAAAGAGAGAGAGAGAGAGAGAGCCCAAGACAAAGCCTTGGCTTTTCTATAATTGACATACCAGCACTTCTGCCAAATTCTTTTCGTTCCAGAGATCAAGTCTGGCCAAGTGTAGAGAATGACATGAATGTGAATACCTGGATAAAAGGGTTGTTGAGGTTCCTACCATACTGTGTTTGGTGCTCAGATGATTGGTCTGGAAATTCAGTTTTGACTGCATACCAAATGCAGAAGGTGGGCTTACAAATCAACTCCATAAGGAACTTTTAACTTGGCACATTTCTTCTTATCCAGAACTCTTCAGCTATGTTACATTCCTCTGAACAAACTTGTTTCCATTTTAAGCCTTTCCCATTTTGAGGGGTCACATTTATTCAATGGATAAGTTTAACCATGTAACTGTTTCTAGTATATTCACTCAAGAAGAGAACATTTTATTGAAGAAATTTTCTTTTGGATTGTTAATAGGATTACACTTTATTATCATCTATAAAGTTTTGAACTTTCCTTAACAAAAATTAGTAAGGAATAATTTAGACTACATTTATTTTATTATTTATTTATTTTTAGTGGCAATGGGGTTCGAACCCAGGGCTTCACCTTTGCTAGGTAGGCACTCTTACCACTTGAGCCACTCCACCAGCCTAGTAAGGAATAATTTAAAGGAAGAATTTCCCAAATATAAGCATGAATGATAATTTGAAACCCGTAAACAGTTTATGCTAGATATGCTAGTAAATGATGTGTCTATTTTTATATGATTGCATTCCTTAGGCATCACTGCTTTTATTAAGTGATTTTCCCACTGAAAACAAGACGCAGAAACTGCAGATTTCCCTCTGTGTGACTATCTAGCAACCCATACACAATGTACATATACTTACAGAAGGCACTGATACCTTATGCCTTAAGTGAACATACTCTAAGCAAAAAATTCACTTTGAATTACAGATGTTAAGTTAAAAGCAGAGCTATACTGAAACACTATAAATGAGAAACATTGCATCATAAAAGTCCAGCAAAGCTTCAGGGACTGTTCCAGACTCAAGAGACTTTATAACTAAATGATTTCTACATGATTTCTTTTGCTATAAGGGTTGTTATTGCAACAACTGGCAAAACTTCAGTGGGGTCTGAGGATTTGATGGCAACAATGTGTCCTCGTTAATTTCCTAATTTGGATGGCTGTATTTGGGATGTGTAGGGGACTGTGTTTGGAGGAAGTACACACTGTAGTATTTGAGAAAATACTTTTACTTGCTATGTTTTCTTTCCTTTAATTTTCCTTGCTTCATTACCTATTTAATTACTTAGTTACCATTATCAACATAATGAAGAAAAGTTCATAAATTAATATGTATTCTGAACTGGACAGTTGTGACTAAGTCATTTCTCTTCTCCTGTCAATCTCCTATCAATGCACTTATGTGATTTGTCATTATGGTAATTTACTCGTTATTTCAATGAAATACATTAATAGGTTCCTTAGTGCTGTTGTAGCAACTCTGTTGTCAGGCATAGCTTATGCAATGACTTTTGATGTTGCTATTAACTCTGATTTTGTAACTCTATTTTGTAACTGTAACACATGATTGGGTATTTGTGTTTTTATGATCATATGCCTTATGCTTTTACCCATTTATATCAATTTACAAGGTATAGTGTTTTTGCTGAAACTATGGTACTATCCTGTTCTGGATTATCTTTATCAAAACTGACAGCACGACAAGCCAGATAACCAAGGGTAACCATATTAGTGTCCTCTGGTTTTAGAGAATTGTGCTTAGAATCAAGTATTTTGTTTGCATCTCCTTACTTTTTGCTTTATTTTCACTTCAAATGTAATAAACAATATTATGCCATTCTACATTTAGAATTATTATGTAAATTATAATGCATTATAGCAAGGCAACTATTAGAATCTCTTCAAAAGCATCAAACATGTACTTTCCATAGATTCTCAAAAGGAAAGATTGTGATCAGTCATAAATGAACTGATTCAATCTCTTTTTGACCTTATACTTTCATCATAAAATTAGGACTGAAAATATTATGGTGTCCATGAAATATAAATTGCTCTTTTCAGAATAATACTCTAATCACTAGGTACTCTGACCCCTGTTGATCATAATTACAAAAGATGAAAATTACCACCTGGTATACTAGAGAAGTTGAAAGTGCTATTGCTTCAGTTTCATAAGATCTCAAGGTGGAGTCTCTCCCAGAACAATTAGCCTGTTTCTCTTGGTTTTTGTTGTTTTTTTTTTTTTTTCATCTTTGAAGAGCCATAATGTACTTGAGTGGGTAT